ATATTTTCAGTTACAGGCTGAGTCATTTCTACCTTCTCCTCTCTGTCAACGCTCTCTGGTTTATTTAAAAGAGTCGATCATCAGATATTGTCCAAGATTAACCTTCAGGGTGGATATAGCTCGCTCACACCGAGGACCTATCCACGTCGTAATGTACCCAGAATGCTTTATGTGTTAATAAAATGGCTCCGTCCATGTTAAAATATATATTTTTAAAATTTACAAAACTAAACAGCCTACAGTATTTTTAAAATCTTTATTTTACAGTTAAAATAAATGTTTATCAAATAAAATCTAATGTTACAACTAATAATGGATCCCTTTAATCAGCCTACAGTATTTTTACAGTCTTTATTTTACAGTTAAAATATATGTTTATAAAATAAAGTCTAATGTTACAATTAATCGGGGTTGAATTTACTCATTAATAAACTTGAAAAGAATGTCCTACCAGTCTTGGCTGTTGATGGCATCTCCGTATCCTGGCGTATCCACGACCGTGAGACGAAGCTTTACTCCTCTCTCCTCGATTTCCACCGTCGACGCCTCGATCTGAACCGTCCTCTCGATCTTCTCTGTGAAGCGTTACAGTAATGACAGAGTAAGAAGACAGTCACTCCAGCTCTGACACTAAAGGTCCCATTTCACTGAGCTGGACTCATGTCTATTGTCTCAGACGCTGTGGTGTCCCAATACCAGTTTTTCTCAAAAGGGGTACTTCAGTTTGGATATTTGTAGATACCAAGTACTTACTGAGTTAGAACTCCACCATTACACGACATTAAAAAACATGTTTCCTTCCTTACAGACCTACAGCCCCTCTGACTGGATCAAATCAAACATACAGAACGATAAATGATAAACATGGGCTCAAACAATTATAGCAGATAATAATTTAGTCCGCTCTGATTGGACGACTTCACAACAGGCTTTTAGGTAGGATTCAGGAGATGGGTGTCAACTCTTTTAGCATAAAGACGCCCCGATGCCTCTCTAYCTAAATGTCTGCTTCAGAATAGATCCACACGTGCTAACACGTTAGCAWCCATGTTTCCTTCTGTAAAACTCATGCTGAGTGTGACGTCACATGGTCTTCTGTTTCAGGGCAGTGGAATGTTCCCACTGGAGTCTGATGGAGGTCCACTTTAAATTAGAGCGTCAAACAAAGACAAAAATCAAATGAGCATCYGTACTAGGGATGGGTACCTTTTAGGGTTGGGCAATATTGTCAAAAAAATTAATCACGATTAATTGTGGTATTTAGCCGATAACGATTAATTTGACGATTAATCCACTGGAGTCCCTGGACACCTTTATTTTGCAGTCACATGACCAATTTAGTGGGAAAGATTAGCTCTTTGTAAGAAATTGTTCCAAATTGTGTGAAAATTACAGATTTCAGGCTATACATCAATTGTGTTGATAGATAAATAAATTACAGAACTTCATTTTTAATGTTCTTCATATTTGAAGCAGAGAGGAACACCGATCGGACTGACCGGAGTAATCTCCAGTCAGTCTGCCTGCCATTAATCATATTAATTGTCAAGTGCCAAAAAGTAATCGATTATTGTTTTTCTGACGAGTAATTGCACACGATACGATTATGCCCAACCCTAGTACCTTTGACATTTGAATCGTTTCAATACCAATATCGGTACCTGGGAATCGGTACTGGTACTTAACGGTACCAGTTTTCAGTACTTTGTATGTGTTGTTTTTTAAAATAATAAACATMGTTTTTAATTTAACATACTTATTTCTCAATATATCAAATTTAACAAATATCCAGACAACATCCAAATCTTTCTATTGTAACATCAGTAGTTTAACTAATTTCTTTAAGGTGAAAACACTTGAAAACAACAAGACTGTTTTGTCTTATTGCACAAATTAAAATCCAACTTGATGTATTTCTATTGATGTCATTTCCCCGCTAAAAAAAAATTGTGTGATGGATGTCCATGGAAGGCAATTACGTTTAAATCAAATAAGCAAAAGAGGATTGAGTGAAAATAAATAAAAGGTATTCAAGCTACGTTTTGAGCATCCAAAACACACCAACACTTCATGTTGGCTGCTTGTGCTATTTCAGGTCAGATGCGTTCGGACTGTCGGCAAGTGCCTCTGTTGTTTTCCTCTGTCGGTCTCTGTTTAATGGAGGATGAAATAAAGAAAGTGGCGGTACTTTATTTACTTTGAGCAAGTGAACGTCATGCTCACAAGATAATTAATCCACCAGATAACTCAGAGGCGGTCTGTTTGGTGAGTTTCACTCCAGGAGCTGCGAGGCTTTCGAACTACATTCAGACCGAGCTCTGTGTTTACAAGGGTTGGGCAATATAGGCAAAAAAAAATCACTATTAATTGTGGTATTTACCCGATAACGATTAATTTGACAATTTATCCCCTGGAGTCCCTGGACAACCTTTTGTCCTAGTCACGTGACCAATTTAGTGGGAAACATTTGCTCTTCGTAAAATTCCAAATTGTGTCAAAATTACAGACTCCAGGCTATACATCAATTCTTAAATTGTGTTGATAGATAATCTCCAGTCAGTCTGCCTGGTGGCATTAATTGTATTAATTGTCAAGTGCCAAAAAATAATCGATTAAAGCTTTTCTGGCGATAAATTGCACACGATACGATTATGCCCAACCCTCATGTTTACTGAGCCAGCGGCTGCTGACATCATTACGCTCTTGTGCAATGCTGCGTTCAGGACAAACATGGAAAACTCACCACTCTTACGCCAATACGGTCAAAATGATGCGTTTAAGTACCGAAACATGGTACCGTTTGAGGTTACGAGAATAGGTTCTCGGTAGTACCGACAGAATTTGGTCGGTACTTATAAAAGTATTGAATTCAGTACCCATCCCTAATCAGTACATGCATAGTGAAAGTAGCCTTACAGGCACCTATACAGGCTCGGTGACTATTCTGAGAGAAAACTTTTTTGAACGTGTTTAAAACTCAAGCATCCAGACTGTCTCCTCTGCGACTCACACCACATACCACCAACACAGGCTGTGAGACATTCTGGACACTCCCTCGTGAGTATGGGTCACTACCTACTCATAGCCCAGTAAAATAAGCCCCATGTGCTGCTCTGACCAAGTTAAATCAGCTCAAAGATCAATCTGTTATAGATAACCCTCTAAATGTATGGACACGTGTGTGAATGTGTTTACCTGCTGCCCCAGGGATGACTCTCTCAGGGTAAAGGTCAGTCAGGAAGAGGCTGTTGATCAAGGTAGATTTTCCAAGTCCAGATTCACCTTCACACAACAACCATTAGAATAGTTTCAGTCCATACTGCTCAAAGCTACTACTACTACTATTACTACTATTAAAAAAGCAACACACACCAGACACAAAGGAATGCTTTACACTTCAAGTATTATTTTATGTTGCAATGTGAGAAAATATGAGCTTAGACGGTGCAGGAACTTTCATCCACAGCTTAGTGGATGATCATTGGACTGTCAGGTCAGTGTGTGTGTGTCTCCTGCTCTAACCTCATCATGTTTTCACATCATGTCAAAGACGAGATTAAAAAATGTTATTTTTTTAAATTAGGTATCAAACTCTTAGCTTCAGTGCTGGGATTGTGGTTCCTGTCAGAGTTGTGGCAAAAAGGTGCAAAAGTCTTTAGTCTAAAGAGGCAAAAAGTCAAAACACACACATATTTGTATTTCTATCCTTATTAGGACCGTTCACTGACTTCCATTCATTTTCAATTCAATTCAAATTCAATTCAAAAATACTTTATTGATCCCAGAGGGAAATTAGGTGTTGTTGTAACTCATTTAACTAAAGAATTATTGTAGATGCTGATGGCTGTGGGCAGGAAAGATCTTCTGTAGGTCTGGATTACAGCGAAGTTGAAGAAGCCTCCGACTGAAGACACTTTGTCTTTCTATGACAGTCTGATGAAGAGGATGGTCAGGGTTGTCCACAATATTCTTGATTTTATGTAATATGTAATGTGTTATGTAATCCTTCTTTGCACCATCATCTCCAGAGATTCCACAGTCGTCCCCAGAACAGAACCAGCCTTCTTTATCA